CCTGTGCAGAAAGTCTTTAGTTCTACATTTATATTTATATTTATATTCTCTCATTTTGCCCTCCCCCCTTCCAGTTTCGCAGCGAGAAATGGTACGATAAGTAGTATGTTGCCGGGTAGTTGAAGAGAGTTTTATATCGTCATTAAGTGAGCAACACAATCCATTATAATAGGTGCAGTATTATGTCGGGCCATGGATACTCGCAAGTCGAATCAAGTTATCTGTCCTAATGGATGGACTTCCAGCTCCTTGCACACCGGAGTCATTTATCATTGCATACAGTCACAGAGAAAAAGTAAAATACAGTGTCGTAAGTTTAAGAGAAGAAGGTGGCGTAAAATGTGAGAGTGGACGTCATTTATCTGGGATTTTTAAAAAGTTGTCTCTGACGGATGCTTTCTTTGCGAGAAATCTCGAAAGATATGGCATACCGATCAACCTGTAGGCAGTGCGAGTATATACAATTTTATAAAGACACCTAGTTACCAAAGTGTATACATATTTAATTTCTGAGGGTAATGGTTGTGTGATGTCCGATAGATATTGTTACAGAAGTTTTCTCAAGAGGTAAAATGTGTCGGTGATAAAGTTGAGCAAGTGTAAATAGGGAATACCGCTTGTGCGTGAAATGATTTTAACAGACCGGAGTAGAATGGCGTAGTCTTTAACCGACAAATAAAACTGGGGAGCAATAAAGGTGAGCGACATCACAAGAAAAAAACAAATCGGGTGGTTAAATACTGGGGAACTTTAAAGATCACAAGCGTGAAATAAAGAAACATTCGTTGAGTCTTTTTTATAAAATTCCACCTAAGATCTTGACAGGCAGTGAATCCGAGATATCGTAAAGATCGTCCTGAGGAAACAGACTTATTGCCGATATAGAGCACAGCAAATTCTTTCAAAAGGTTGTAACCGTTCTCCTGTGGTCATTGAGGTGACATCCCTATGTTTACAGGTGTTAATCGGTATTTAGGAATACGAAGACTATAAGCTCAAAGCAAATAAAGGGGTTTAAAGCTGTGAGAAACAGAAGTCACCTTGTAGACCATTAAATGCATTATTGTATTCGAGGAAACGTACGAATACCATGCCTGTCTAGAGATTGCAAACCTAAGTTTACGGATTGCGCGTGGGCGTCTAAGGTAGAACGTTGTCTGCGATAGGCGAATTTTCTATAATCTAACTGCCTAATGTCAGGAATAAGGGTATTAAGCATAAACGTTTCAAAAATCTATAGTAAAACGGAAGTTCAGGCGATTGGTCGAAATCCAGATCAACCAAAGAGTCGTTGATTTCAGGATGCAACCAAGTTTCTTGCAATATGGCCATCCTGAAAAGCATATTTTCTCATTCTTATGAATTTCGTGATGTATCTCATTTTCCCTAATAGTGATCGAACGTTTGATGAACAAATAGCGAGTATAAACGTTTTAAAGGTTTTTATTGCATTAAGTCACTTGCCAGCCTGTTTGGTGCTTTTTGAGGAAGCCTGACTTTGACGGTCTGCATTTTTTGTATCTATTTTTAGCTTGGCGACGGAACCGGTAATCAGCTGCTCTTGCGCGATCACACAAGGTTTTAAATTACTTAAAGATTCCGAGGCGTAGGTATTCGTAACATAGGTGAAGAAATTTGCTTCAAACAGTTTTCTATTACACAATAAGTGATTTACAGCAAAAGGGGTAAACCCCATAATCAATGATATACTGTAAGGGAAAGGTATGTGGGGGAACATTCGAGTAAGAGTCAATTTAGTAATTCTGCTTTTGAAAAGATTATAAGAGCTTGAAAATACAGAAATGGGAAGAGTGTTCCGCAATTTCGCAATCCTGGGGAAAGAAGATTGAAAGATAGAAGTCCGACATCTGGGGACAGAAACCTGTTAAGGGTGACTGCCCATCCCCCCTCCTGAGAACGAGGTAGACGAGAAAAGGTCAACAGAAGGGGAACCGCTGAAGCGAGTTCCGAAGTGCAGAAACCAAAATTGTAACGATAGAAAAGAGATAACAAAGCAACTGCCCGGCGATGGGAAAGTGACTGCATGTTGGAAGTTAAAGACGGTTCGTCAATCAATGTGTGACGTAAACGTGGATAAATTATCCACTGGAGCACAAATGTAGCCCAGCCAAATTTGTAAGGGCCAACCTATTCAATCTCGTGATCAGAGTGAGTTTTCAATGATAGGAATAAGCATCTACATGTGTACCACCAGCATGAATCGAGCGCTTCAGCCTTCATCGTTCTTTCACCTTTTTGGTTGGGGAGGTCTTAATTGGCAAGCAGCTCATTATCTTTTGATTACTCACCAACCTTAGATCCTTATAGGAATGTTCGGATTAGCCACAACAAAATAAAACCAATTTTCGGTTGGCGACGTTTCGACCCTCTTGGAAGTCCTTTTTCAAGTCAATTAACAAGCGAACATTCCTATAAGAACCTAATACTATGAGCACGACGCACAATCTCTTCAAAGACATCCGTTCCGAGTTTGGATCTGATACCGTAACTCACCAACCTATTCATAGCTGATCGTTCATTTGAAACTCTATGTATTATATGGCTATTATGACTTCCGTAAGCGTAATGCCTACATTTCGGTCAAAAGTGTACCCAGTTGAGCTAATATTCTCAGAACGTTTGAAGTCTATGAAAACCTGCTATTTGTTAACCAAAATACGTGCTAGAGAAGTACCTTAGATTTACGGTATGCTTATAGTTGAGGGAACACAACGGAATTGGGATCATTTAGACCGATGGGAACGACAGGATATGAATGCGACTAATACACTTGAAGCCTGTATGCAGTCCGTAAGTGGGATCCATAGGAATTTTATACGCAGGCTTTTCACATGCATTCAAATGGTGTCCACACAGATTAGTTATCAACTCCTCCAGGGGGAGGGGGGTTAAGGAGACATACCTACCGATGATCAGTCCATTTCGAAGCAGCTTATAGTCTTTCTTTATGAGATTCGAAAAGACAAAAGGTAAACAGTAAGCTAAAACCTAGGAAACACGGGCCCATGGATTTGGAGATAATAGTATTAAATTCTGAAATGACGAAGTTTACGGATATGAAAAGAAAGTCTTTGTGGTTACCATATGCCGAAATGTGAGAGGTCCGACGAAGATTAATATCGATAAAAAACCCCACGTATTTGGTACCGTTTACCCGAGATACCGGATCAGATGGGGAAAATGAACGGGATATCGTCAAAAGACATTCGAAGTATTTAGAGGGATTAGGAATCGCAGAAAGCCGTACGTTATCCAACTTGTCAGAAAATTGTAAAAGATCAGAGAGAATTGGAGATGTTTTGATATGAGATTCTCCACCGCTTTTGCCAGCGATTGTTCAGTCTAAACCCGTAGCGGTCTACTTGGATCTTATCTCGTTTTATCGTTGTTACGGATTCTTTCGGTTCCTAATCGCAATTTTTAAAATACTTCGCAACTGACGATCATATATGATGTATTCACAACATACTTGTGTGCGGTGTAACACCCGCCTATCTATTTTTCCGTCTTCCTTGACCATTCTTATAATCGCATTTGTTATTTTCACAGTCTTCACTAAAATCGGTGTTACATGTTATTTCAAAAGAAAACATCTGTAATGGGTAGATTGGAAATTTGTGCTTAGCGCTTTTTCTATCGTTCATATTTCGCTGTTTACTTTTGTATGCTCTGCAGGGATCTGCTGAACTTGGTGATTCTGATAGCCAGCCGTTAACAAGTGATGTTCCAAGTGGGGGTGCAGTGTCGTTCCTCACTGCCCTGCGCGTTCCGGTAAGCCGTCCTGCTTACTTGTGCCATACGATTTTTGCTTACACTCGCAATTTGGATCAACCAGTATTTACGGATGCCTGTCCCATATCCTTATTCGGGTAACTCGGATTTTAGCATAAGCTGTGTTGGTCATACAGGGATCCGTCACTACGAGACTGTACCTTGACGTGGTGTGATGGCTTGTGCACCTCTCTGACCCAACGAGCTACACAGAATGGCTTTTATCAAGCCGCAGATCTAATCATGCCTGGAAGGTCGAAGGGTAGAGGTCAGACAAAGTCCAGTTTCCTGATCCTCCAGGTTGTGGGTTCGACCAGAATTTGCATTTCAGTCAGTAAAAGACAGTGGAGGAGTAATTAATCGCTTCACCCGCTGCCTTGCGGCTTGGTTCTAGTCAGAACTGAAGTCTCTGGTTGAGAACCTTAATCGTTCTCCTGCTTAGTGGCTGGACACCCTGGCAGTACCTGTCCATCAAACTGCAATGCATATGCATCGCGAGTTTGATAGCGATCAGTGAAGTTCGCTTCTCCGTATTTCGCTGTACAATGATGATGATGATAATCTGTTGCGATGGTTTAGACACTAGCAATAAGCGGTCAACTGTTATGATACCAAAGTAGGCGAATTCGGTAGTCCTTCTATCCTTGCATTACCGGAGTTGGAATGGTCTTCGGGCGATCATTCACTCTTGTTTCGGTCTCTACAGCGTTTTACTATTTTATTACGAATATTTGGAGGTGGTGCGGTTTGTAACACGATATTGCATGTGTTTTCCTAATTAAATGCCTCGCACTGTTTTCCGAACCGTAGTAATGTGAGGTACACGCAAGATCTATGACCGTTTGTCGCTACCCTGTATTGGGTTCCACTATGCCTTCATGTTTTTCCCCACTAACTACACGTCAGCCAATGACACAAAGCGATTAGTATTCCAGAAACTGTCCATTCGGTACGCAGCATGCGTTCCTGAGTTGAAACTGATTACAGATTCTTTATCAGAAGTATCTGCTTGTGTTCTGGTCTCCTCCATTATACTTTCAGTTTCAGTTTTTGCAACCATTAATCATGCACTTTCGTGCGCCGGTTTTGGTTGCTGTCCATTATACTACCCATCTGTATCGATTTTGTTCAACTTGAAAGTTTTTCCTTCTATGATTGGTTTCTTGTAGGGTGTTATTGAATACTCCCTCTCACTGTTATTCTCGAAAATGGTCTCGTACACATTCTTGTTCTGGCTACCAAATTACATTCGCGAGGCGGGTGGTTTCGATCCATCTGCTGCAGCCGATTTGTCCGCAATCTTCGATTTGGGCGGAATTGTCGGGGGTATCCTGGCCGGGTTTATAGCTGATCAAACCCTGGCTAGTGCGACTGTATGTGTGGTAATGATGTTCGCTGGCATTCCGGCAGTAAGTTGTCCTGTATGTGGTTTTTCACCTCTTTTTGCCTTTAAACTTGCTTGTAGGTGTGGTGTTCTTTTGAAAATAACTGTTTTATAGCACCCCTATTTTGCGGCTCATTATCATCGTACATGTAATCGCACCACAAACTAGGATCTGTTCTCGGCTAAGGCCAGTACAGCAGATCTTCCCACCTGAAGTTGATACCTCCTACTGTTTCTATCGTTATGACGTTCAATGAAAGCTACAAATAACAACGGTCGTCCAGCTTGAATTTCATCGTGGGTACTGCTTTTGACCGTCAGAAGCAGAAAGTATGCTTTCTTTTTACTTTTCCACTACCATTTCTTGCTCAAGGATTAATCAGTTTCCTGGAAAAATCGCAAACGCAAAATGTAATCCTCCGTTTTTCGACATGCTGTTGCATCAACCACTAATTGCGGACGGATGGGATAGAAATAAATATAAAATGAACAATACTACTGCACGCCATAGCATCATTCCGAGGTTATTCAAAGTCTATCGTCTACTTTGAATTGTTACGAGAGAGTTGTGGACCGATGGGATACCACGGGCAACAAAATTTGTGAATACACTCACTTGAGAATTATCTTAAAGGTTTTATTGTGATCGTTTTAGCCAGTAAGGATGAAATCATCTAGCTTTATTGGTACAACTATAAATAAATGTCTAAATGAGAGTATACTTGACCAGGTAACAAAAGACAGAAGTAGAACCTACTGGCTGCGGTTCCCAGGGTTACCGTTAGTTCTGTACGTTTACTTAGGCCCACATTACATGCAACCTCACGCCATGTCCAAAAGTTCTTGAGATTCATTAGACCGCCAAACAGCAGCGAATGATGATTCAATACTGAATATATATTTAAATATATTAATAATAATTATATAACATATAATTAATTTATTTGCGTAACCAGCACACCACAAATCGTGCCATCCCTAATGGATATGCTTGAACCGTCGAAATAAACAATACCAAACGTGCAAATGAAGGGCTCACCATTCCGTCATGCGAAAAGTGAATTAGCCTCAGGGCGCTTGTGCAAGCGGGCTAGTATACTCTAGTATAAGATCATGGAGCCCTGTGCGGCACTTAAACAGCAAAAAGCATCATACTACCATGGTCAGGGACAAGTGTCCCAGGAGAGGGTGAAGTCGTACGAGTTTGGTAAACGAACGAAGAAATGGGGCCTTTGGTAATGAGTGGGAAGTGGGAGTCTTTAAGTCAAGTCAAGAGTGCACTTTGTGAACCAAAACGTCCGTATTTTCCCCAGGTAGCCTTTGTATGGCCGCAGCTCCCTTCGTGAAAGTTGACTGTACATTTGTATATTCGATAAATAGAAAAAGGAAGTAAAAAGACATTTATTTGAACAGACAGGCCAGAAAACAAACACTGCGAGAGGAATTCCTTTCGTATACTCTCATCGGCCGCGTACGTATAACATCGAACAAGATAAACGAATGAAGCGAATTAACAAATCTAGTTAGTATTAACCATGTGTGTGATGCACGTGATTGGTTACAGCCAGGGAAGGCCAAGGGTAAAGGTCATACGTTTTTGGATGCACAGTGTGGGTTTGTTGTGAGCGATCGATAATGCCTCGAGTATCCTTAGTCGGTGTTTGTCTCGATGACGTAACAAAACCGAGAACGCGTTCGTAAGATCTACCCTACGGCCGCTTTCAACCAAGTGACGTGCGATGGCCGAAGTCGGTTTGCGTGATGCGGTCAGAGTGTGTGATGTGCGCTGAGTCATAGAGTCCGCACATACTTGGGCATTAGTTCAGCCATTCTAGTTCGCAGTGATCGGTCGGTTCTACCAATGTATGCTTCGTTGCAGCTGCAACAGAAGTCGTAAGAGACTCGACTGGACGACGATCTTTGAATGGGGGGAGGGGGAGGTGCTGTGTGATCGGATGGAGTCTTAATGTGGCAGCGTACTAGGAATTCCTCTCTCAGTGTTTGTCTTCTGACTTGCCTGTTCAAATTCATTATGGGATCCAAAGGTTTCACACATTTATTTATTATGTTTAATAAACCTTTTCAACTTCAAGTGGATCCGCCGCAACCTCACTTGTATTTAATCGATCACTCGTAATCCAGCCGATTAGACTGGGTCTATCAACACAGTCCAGTAGGAATGAACTGATTTCTCCATGAAAAAATGACTTTTCGATTGAGTTACCGAGCCAGGATGAAAATTTCGGGGAGGTGGGGATGGGGTTTTGCTGTTCGTCCCACAACCTGGCAGTAATTGACCTCCATTGACCGGGTAAAGAAGTAAATCCCTATCGATAAGTCACCATGCTCCGGCGTGAATGTTGGCATGATGCATGGCATGAGTGGGTTCACTCTAGGCCCTCAATAGCCTAATAAATAAATTCCACTGAAGCCAAGCTTTCCTAGAATGACACCGATTCCTTTGAACCAACTGCTATTACCTGCATATTTCCGGTATTGAAAAGCACACTTGACAAGGTTCTCAACAATACAACAGTGAATGGAACAATAGTACATATTTCACCCGAATACCTTACCTGCTGCTCCCATAGTTACTGTGCTCCAACAGCTGAGCACGTGAAAACTGTAAATGGTACTATTTACTCTTGCTACAATCGCTAGTGCCAATCCAAGGTACGCCCCACTCTTGAACGGTGTGCTTAGTCCTCGTACACACCATCAAGGAGTCAGATGTTTTCAACAAATCTTAGCACTTCAGCCTTGGTTCTCGCTTCAACTCCACGCACCTGTCCATCAGTATTTACGATGAGACCTTGATAAATGATAAAACGTGCATCAATCCCATTTATCTCATGAGCTATTTAAATTCATGTACTACTTAGTAGTAGTACCTGAATTGCTCACAGATGGCATGTCTAATGCGTTCCATAAAAACAGCATTATCCTAGTGTTATGGCTTACAACTGACTGATTTGT